CTGTGCTTTAATATTGAGAGCAAGGACTAATATCATCATAAAAGAGATTTCCAAAATGGCATGTGGTCTATGGTTCTTTACTGACATATATATTCCAAAACTTTTTTTATTAATATAAGGGTAAGAATCGCCTACTCAACAAAAAAGGTAATACACATAAAATACAGAAACATTTAAATGATAATCCCAGTCAAACTCCAAATGGGAGACTAATGTTAACTGCCCTTTAATTTTACTAGTCAAATTCTATAATAAAAGTTTTACAAAACAAGTTCTAAACCTCACACAACAATATTTATAATGACCAAATATCAGAATAAAAGTTTGCATTTGCTGCTTGAATTCACAAAAAANCTCACCCATTACTCAGCATGTCATCAGCTCCATCTGAATACCTCTTTGTACTGTCATAAAATGCTACGATAAATATTATGCTCATAATGGATCATCAATAGCTCACCCTTCATAGTGTCCTTGGAATCAGAAGGGAAACTAAAACAAACAAAACCCTTCAGCAATAGCTCTACTCTCATCCAGTCACACGTCTTTACCATTTATACACATATGCCAACACAGAAAACCACATACTCTTGGAATTAAAGCTGAAAGCAGGTTGAAGTCAGGCTAAAAGGATAATAAACAACAGGTTATTAAATTGGTATTTTAATTCAGTTGGCAGTAGGGAATGGCTGAAGGTATGCACAGAGGACTAACACAATCAGAGTTGTGCTTTTGGAAAATTACACTTACCACTGCAGATAGGATGGTAAATTAAATGAGGGAAAACAGGCTATGTAAAGAACTCAGGAAAGCAAACTGAGGATCCCAACTCTAGCAATAAGTGAAAAAGAAAAAGAAAAATGAATGATCTGGACGAGGCGAAGGTAAAAGAAAACGAGTAGGAAGTTGCCACTTGCTTGGATTGAATGATCTGGGATGATATGATGCACAAAAAGCCCAATGAGGAGACCCAGGATTTCTTGAGCATAGGAGTAAGACTGAACTAGAGAAAGGTCTCATAAGTCATCCACAGAAGTGACAGATGAGTCACAGGAGCCAACTTCTCCAAAACAGAGAATTCTAAGAAAACAGAGAGTCATATTTAGGGTGAACCAAAAGTGGGGAATGTAGTGAAGGCTAACAACAAGCCTCAGAGAAAGC